TTTAAATGCATTCACTAATATTTATAATTTAGTTCAGATTTTCTTGCCGAGTTGCAAAGTCTTCAATCCATGCAGTTTGACTAAAGCTTTCGTTATAAAATGTCTAATCGAAACTGTAGGTCGTCACTACTTTAGCGCAGAAGTGTCGAGGTAGGATATTAACAGACCTCGTTTTCTGTCATATTTAATTACTTTTCTTATGCTTCCTTGAAGGTCGCGCAGCAACTCTCGGACCCTTAGACCCAATGGATCCAGCGTCTTATGGTGATATACCACGTGGTACATGGAGTTCAGGCTTAGAAGGGGTTACTGGAGCACCATCGGCTAAGACAGGTGTAGATAGCACTGCATCGGGACCATTATTTCAACAACGTCCATACCCTAATCTGGTGATGTTTTACGTGCAAATGCTGCAGCTAAAGTCCATGAAGAGGAAAGGCAAGATGAATCTAATAACTGAAGTTATACTTTTGAAGTTGTTCTGTACACTCATTGTTTACTTTTCAACAGAATTTCAATTTATTAAAAAAACCATTAAATAGTTTGATGTCTTCGAAAGATACTTTCTCCATAGATGAATTATAAAAAAATCATACTTAAATAATTATGCATGAGCGAAAAACATCAGAAAGAACAATTGTTTCTAATGACTTCCTCATTAAGTTTTAGTTATCAAGTCCAAATATGTCGTTATTACTTTATTACTCAGGCCTGTGTATCCCACCTGGAGGAGTATAGGTCGCCCACTAGCATCCTCTATCGAACTCTGTTTTAGACAATTATTTCCAGTTGCTATTCATCCTTCTCATTATTTTTTTTGGGTTAGCGTTTCTTTAGAGTTAGTTTTCTACAGGATGGTGTCGCTAACCCTACGCCCAACCCTACTCCTTTACCCGGGCTTGGGACCGGCAGTAACTCTAGAAGAGCTACAGGCGGAGTTTCATGCCTGCTTCCGATTCCCGACGTAATGTGTTCTTCGGTCTTTCTCTTTTCCGTCCCCTTCCTGATTCCAAGCTAAAGCTTGCCTCGTGATACAGCTTGGTGATTTCAGTCATGTATGTCCTATCCACTTCCAACGTCTCCTAATTTCCTCCTCAGCTGGCAGCTGATTTGTTCTCTCCCACATTAGGCTGTTGCTGATGGTTTCCGGTCAACGGACATTGAGTATCTTTCGTAGACAATTTTTTATAACTACTTGTACCATTTTGATGATGGTTGTATTAGTTCTTGACACGACTATGCAGAGTAGTGCATCTTATTAATTCTGTATGACGATGACGACTTTCTCAAGTACTCCATGGTGTCAAAGAAGTTTCATAATGTTCTATCCACACTGTCAGACGCCTTCTCGTAGTTAAAGAAGTTGATGTATGATCATAAGTTCCATCCAACTGACTGTTCGACGATCATACCTAATGTCGCGATTTAGTCTGTGCACAACCGATCCTCACGGAATTTAGCCTACTGATCTCGAAGCTGGACGTCAACTGAATCTTTCATCTGGTTCAGCAACACTGTTGGACACTTCCTGGTACCGATAATAGTGTGTTGCTTCTGTAGTTGAGTTCTCACACTTACTCATATCTTTCTTTGGTATGTTGGTGAAGTGTCCTTCTTTCCAGTCTGTCGGCAATTGTTCTTACACCAAAATCTTCCTGAATGGAATGTGGGGCATGTCTGCAGTTACTTCTATGTCTGACCTCAGCGCTTCATCTGGTATATTATCAGGTTCTGCTGCCTTCCCACTCTTAATTTTTCTGATGGCCATCCTGATCTCTCCGATCGTTGATGCAGTGATATCTATAGGAAGCTCTGTAGGTGGTACTTCGATATCCGGTGGATTCGACGGAGCTGGTCTATTTGAGGGTTACTCGAAGTGTGCCACTCATCTGTCCCTTTGTTCTTGAATCTCAGTGATTAGCTTGCCTTCTTTGTCCTGGAGCAGTCAGACAGTCAGTCAGTAACAACGTAGAACCTCGTACGTACGTACGTACATCAGTTCGAGTTGCCACACCACATTAGCACAGAGATGCAGTTGTCGATTCAAATCCCCTAGTGATATAGGAAGTAAGAGTATAAGCAGTAATCGGGAAGATTAGGGTTTGAAGATGTTATTCAAGGAGTATAATCCAGTGAAATAAATGTAGAAAGAGAAAACAAGAAAAGGACATGAAGAATTCAGAAGATTAGAATTTGGGAGAACACAAAGAGTGGGTGCCATTGTGAACGATTTTGGGCCATGTCATTCAAGGTCTCTAACCATCGGTTGCTATCATCTCGCGGTCCCCAACCAGGCAGTGTACACCTACTAACATGGCTCAGTCCACTTGTCAGTGACTTCATGAACTTGTGCCATGTTTTGGTCTGATCGCCCCTAGCTTTCTTCCAACCTACTCCCATACCACTGAACATCGCACGTCAAGACAGTCGGTGGTTGGGCGTACGTAACACGTGTCCCATCCATCTCAACTGATGAAGTTTCACTACTTGATCAACTGATTTGCCATCCTTACCTAGTACCCGTTTCTTAACAACTGCGTTACTTACTCGATGCCTGGACCGGTTTATCTGGTTTACTATATTTCCCTGCCAGTTTATTCGTTGTATCATATAGCTGTTTCACATTTCCTTCTGTCGCAGCTTTCTCCACTGTCGCTGCTGGGTCTTCACGTATTTCTGCTTCTCAGCTCTAGTGAAGCTCTTCACTTGTTTGTTTCTGTGTATTCAGCTTGTGCCTTGACTTTGTCTGTTCTTGTTCGGCTGTTGTTAATTGCTGTCTTCCTGTTGTATTTGGTCGTCGCAATTGTTGTGCCGGAAAAAGCGCTGATCACTTATACTCAGAACGAGGAACCCCTGCAATTCCCACGGCGTGCAGTAAGAACACAAGACTGGTATAAGTGATGATTTATTAGCCCCAAAACACGACGACGACGATGATCAAAATAGTCTAAAATACACTGATTTATATATTGATTTTACATCCATTTTGATTAATAATTAGGGTTAAATCACATACTCAGTTATAACAAATCACTTACTGAGCATAGTTCATTTCAATTGAATAAAAGAATATCACATAATATACAGAAGAAAATATCACACTGGGAAAACAAATCAAATACTACACTGAATGATCCTCATATTGAATAAAACTCATAATGAGTAAATCAATCGAAAATTGATTTTTCTTTCCATCATATCATAATTATACAATAAAAATATACGTTTAGTATTGACCCATAAAAGGATCCCAAAATTACCATTTATTATGTTTCTCCGATCCTCACACTTCCTCTCTTGAATCGTGTCTAGGGTTTCCATAGAGATGCATTCCTTATGACGATGCTCCTTGCGGTTCAGAACCTCCTGACACGTTGAAGTTGGTGCTCCTTTGATCTCTTTCTAGCTGTCCTTCATAGTAGTTTTTTCTTCCTTGAGTAGATCTTGTAAGGCTTGGAACCTGTTGTTGAGAGCTATCTTGAATTCACCGAGTTTTCCAGCATCTCGAAGGAGGGCTATATAGAACCTCTGTAATGCTGTTTACCCAGCTGTCCAGTGTTTCTTTAGCTTCAGTTTCATCCTGGCAACCATCAGGTTGTGATCTGAAACTATGTCAGTCCATCTCTTGGTTCTCACTTCTTCCATTAACCTTCTGAATTTCCTAGTGATGCAAATATGATCTATCTGGTTCTCGGTAGTGTGGTCCAATGAGACTTATGTAGCTTTGTGTATGCGTTTGTGTGGGAATATTGTGCCGCCTATAACCAATTCGTTGAATGCACATAAATTTGCGAATCTCTCGCCATTCTCGTACGTTTCTCCCGATCAGTCCATATCGGCTCGTGATATCTTCATAGTCGGTATTTTCCATTCCATATTTGATGTTTAGGTCTCCCATCAGGATGGTCAGGCCCTTTCCTCGGCAATTCTCTACGATTGACTGGAGCTTCTAATAAAATCGATCTTCATCACTTTCATTGCTATCGTTGACGGGTGCATAACACTGCACAACATTCATTGTGATTCCATCCTTCTTTGTTTTGAAGGATGCTTTTATGATCTTCGATCCACGTGAGTCCCATCCTGAGTGCTTTTCGTGCTTCCTTGGATAGCATCAGAGTGACTCTTTGTATGTGTTAAGCACTTTTTTCATGACAAGAGTACAACAAAATCTCTTTCGAATCTAATATCTGCTGTCCAGCCTGGGTTTCACTGATTCCGAGAACCACCAAGTTGAATCTACTCATTTCTGTTGCTATTCGACTGGTCCTTCCAGTCTCCCACATTGTTTGTAGATTCCATATACCGATACTAATTGCTTCTCCAGTTGTTTGGACGGTTGCCGGCCTCATGATTTCCGAAGAATTTTGGCTTTCATCGTGAGGCGTCATAATTCTTCTAAATGAAGACCCTTCGATTCCCAGGCTAGAGTATAGATGGTTTAATTAGTTTTTTTCTCGCTAACGCTTCCTAGGTAATGTTGTTTTCTACGGGTTGCGGACCCCATGCTCAACCCTCCTCCTTTTACCCGGGCTTGCGACCGGCGGTAACCCTAGAAGATCTACAATCCGAGTTTATATCATTATTACAATGGACAAAATGTTCAATTTGAATCATTTCCGTGTGAATTTTGTTAGTCATTGGTTTGAATAGTTAGATATCATTATTGTCCAATAGAAGAAATTGTTGATATTTGACTCCAATGAAACGACATTTTATTGCCCTAAATATTAAATAAAGACTACTAATTCAACATCCATAATCGAAATAAAGTTATATAACTCAATTTTACAATGAACTACATTTCTTATTCAACTACTAAAAGCCTAAAACATTAAGGATACAGATAGTTCATTGTGATTTATCTGTTCAAGAAAATTAAACTTAGTTTGCTTCTTATAAATGCCGTACTATAGACATACCTATTATCCATTGAAAATGATGACTTCTACTCAAGACTTACTTCACTACCATCAACGTTAATTAAATGAGACCATATTATGCGAGAATATATATTATGTTTATGTATTTTTATCATTATCATTTTAAAAGAACACTGATAAACAAGAAAGTGTTTACATAAAATGAAAATTAAGGAAAGTAATTAACATTCTACAATGCATATATGTATATTTGCAATTACTCTGAGGCACTATATAATATACGTGAAAAAGATGAATAAAATGAAATCAAAACAGGATACATCATGATAATAAGGAGAGATTAATTACGAATATGAAAAATACAAACAAAAACTCAGCTATTGTACATGCATACATGTTTGTTTGTTTTTCAATGTAAGAATACCGTCTAGTACATATGACTTCCAATTCTCAATTAAACAATCAAATTGGATAGATAATTGTGCGAATAATGACTAAATAACACACACACACACACACAGAACCAAATAACAAATTTCAACTAGTTATATGAGGTAATAATAAAATTAAATCGACAATTGGAGTAGCATTAATAATAATAATAAAAGCCTAATCCAATTTAAATAAAAAATATATTGAGAATTTAAAAAAGAAATTTATAATATACTCCCTTTTCTTTTTTGTATGGATACATTACGAAGAGTATAGATGATTCAAATAATGACCATACACAATTGAGGAAATAACCTAGAAAGAAGTAGTATCCACGCTACTAAACGTATCATAATGAGGTAATTTAAACAAATGACAGAAAGTACTAAGCCCATCATCATTCATTTATCCTACTGAACAATGTGTTATTATGTTCCATATTTATATAAATAAATAAATAAATAGACAAGCAAAAAAACAAAAACAAAGAAAACTAATAAATAAATGGAATGTAATAATACGTTTTAACAGATGTAAAACATAAAAGAAATGACATTCCAAGAATTAGACACATTCAATGAATGTGAAAAAAATGAGATGTGCAATTAATTCATTCGTTTTTAAAGATTTTAAAAGTATTAGAAGCCAATCCAAACAAAATAGAGAAGAAAAAAATAGACAAACAAACAAATAGATAATTACAAATTTCAATTTGGTGATAGAATTGTATTATAATGTGAAATAGTATAAATTGATCAAATGTTCAATATTTTCAAGACAGTTGTGTTTATTCAAATAACGTGTACACAAAGATCAAACGAGTGCATAGTCCAAATAGTTAAACAGCTTTATACAATTTGATACCTTGAAAAATGTAATAAAAGGAAAATTATGAATGATAAATTAGTGATTATGAACATAATTGATCTCTATTTCTGATCAATATTTATCTTTGTACAAATATATTATTATTCTACTTAAATTTCAATTTTCTGTACATTATGTGGATATAACCCAATGTTCGCAGATTGTGTTAAACTCAAACTCATTCAAACTGTAGAAACGAAATAATTTAGCAATAATAAGGTATAAAGAAAATATCAATCGAAATTACTGGGTCTCAAATAAATAATAACGATGATCACAGGATCCAGCATGATAATAAATAAATATTGGCGAGACTCTAATTTAGAGACGAGTCAATCAGAAGCGTTTGAGCAATTTCAATTATTAGCCAATCAGAAGACAGTTAGTATAAAGCAAAAATATATTATAAGAAAGTAATGAATTACAGTGGATGTTCTTCTTTTACATGATTTAAAAACTTGTTAAGGTTTGATAAAGGTTCAAAGGTTCTGAATTCATAATGCATACGGTATAGAAACTCGTCCATAGGGTTAGGGTTGTAGCCTCTCAATAAACATATCTGCTCTAAAATCCGCTGTAAACTGATCGTATGTTAGCATCAAGTGTTGAACTTGGCTCCGTGACCTAGAAATTGCTAGAACGCTTCTTTGTGGCTCATCCCTAAATTAGAATCTCGCCACCTTAACTATATGGATGAGTTTCTATACCGTATGCATTATGAATTCAGAACCTCTGAACCTTCATCAAACCTTAACAAGTTTTTAAATCATGTAACAGAAGAATATCCACTGTAATTCATTACTTTCTTATAATATATTTTTACTTTATACTAACTGTCTTTGATTGGCTAATAATTGTCAAGGTCATTTAAGATTGTTCAAAGGTCGTCCCTAAATTAGAGTCTCGCCAGTTTTATTTTTGAGACCAAACGACAAGCATAATTACTAGACGCATAATAACTGTCTTCGATTATCTCACTTAACTATTACAAACTCATGTAGGTTTTCATTGAGATCTTTTTTGAAGTGATGCAATTTGTGAAATGTAAAAGTTCATACATCTTTCATATTCACCATTGAAAATGCAAATAATAATAGTTTATTACAGTAATGGAGTAGGAGGTGACTAATAAAGGTATTTTCAATCAAATATAATGATAATTACATAGATTAGAAAGTTACATGGCTATACCTGTTAAAAGTAAGAAACTTTTCACTATTATATTGTAATGGTGTTCAAACACATGCACTTCAGTTTAGAATATTGGATAGCATAATCAATCCAATCATTAGCCTTTAAAAACAAGGAATATTGTGAAGTAGCTGAGTACATAAATTCAATCTTATTAGTTCAGTTTGCTTTCAAAGATTTTAATCGATTCTGTCTAGCAGATAAAAACTAACTTCTAATAGTCTTAAACCTAGAATAAAATAACTGTTCAACATTTTTGAGTATTCAATACTTTCCTAGTTGGTGTCAATCTGTTAGTCAACGTAGAGCATGGTATAGTTGTCACAACATATCAGCATAGACAAATAACATATCAGGATGAATACCAAAGTCGTAGAGATAATGCTTATATCAGTGTTCGTGAGAAAAATCAGGGAAATAGAAGTTAAAATTTGAGAAAGAATGAACAGAAGACATCACATAATAAAAGAAGATAGAGTGCATCTGTGATCGGTTCTGAGCTAAATTACCCAAAAGTCTTTAGTCATTTGGTCAAGATGATTTTGTGGCCCTCAATCAGGTTTTCTACACCTACTAACACGTTTCAGTCCAATGGTCAATGATTGAATAGAATAATGTCGAGTCTTGGTTTGTTTGCCACTAGCTCGGTTACAATCTCCTCCTATAACGGGGAATATCGCGTGTCGAGATAGGCGGCGGTTGAGTAGATGTAGCACAGATATCATTTCGTGATGAAAACTTGATATGGCCTAGCCGCTTGAAGCGCGAATGACCTATGGAATTTGAGTTTTCCCAATCATTAATGACGCTTGATCACATCCTGAGTTGTAATTACACAACTTAGTCAATGCATTATAGGTGTTAGCTACATATGCATAATTGTATGATTTTGTAAATAGGTATTCACACAGTAAGTTAATGAGTAATTGATGTTAAATACTATTTACTTCAACTTGTAAAAGTCTAACTGTTAATCTGAATGTAAATAAATCATATGAGGTTAAATAAATTCATACCAGCAGCTTTTGTGTTTCCATGACACTGTAGTGAAGGGGAACACAGGTGAGGACAACCGAATCATATTTAGCACAAAATTAGTTACTTGGTAAAATAGAAAAAAAACATACTATAATACCTAATTTGTAAAATGTTCAATAATTGTCTCGGACTTCATTGTTCTTGCATTTTTACTCCCGTTCTTCCTTTCTTGGTCTTTCCAATCTCCTGCTGCCAGACATTACATTCCCGACTCGCGTTATATACTACTTATTTCAATATAAGTAGCACACATCACAACGCTTCATTGAAATCTAGGTTTCAGTACCAATCACATATCAATTAAGAGATTTCATAGACCTAACAAAACTATCCTTCTGAAAATTGAAATAATCTATTTAAAGAAATATTTCCTAACTATCTGGTAAATTTCAGTGACAATAGAAACATCAACAATTATAATGAATAGATTAAAAAAAGTATTTACAATCCATAATTTCATTTTTTCGCCAATTGAACTTCTTTACGTAGTTCAATAATAATTTCACGACGTAAATTATCCAATTCTGAACGAGTAAGTGATAAATCAGAATTTATAATATTTGATATTGTGGAACAATTAGATGTATTAACATTTCGGCTGAAGAAGAAGAAGAAAAAACAAACATTTGGAAATTATAAATTGACATATTTTTTTTTCGGAATGAATTTATTTGTTGAATTCATATAAATCACCATGATCTAATGGAACACACGCAGTGGCCCAGTAGGTTAGGCGTTCGTGCGCGAGACTGAAGGCCCTGGATTCGAATCCCGCGAGCGGTATCGTGAATGCGCACTGCTGAGGAGTCCCACAATAGGATGAAACGGCTGTCCAGTGCTTCCAGGTTTTCAATGATGGTCTAACATCAATCGGTTCATGATCTCAATTAGTTTTAGTTCTACTTTTCGATCACCAGTATACAACTGTCAACAGTATAATGGACCAATTCTTGATTTCAATACAGGTTAAGACATTGAAAGTAATCCGAAATGTTGTTTATAAAAGCTATTCATGGGTAAGGATTATGTGGTCTCTAAACAAAATATGCTTAAACAGCTGGTGACAACATACTAGAAAAATTGGTAGTAAGAATAGAGATATTAAGAAGTGATGGAGGGACTTCGTCGTGAGCAAGATGATCTCAAATGCTGTTAGAGGTATGGGGGACGCCTGTCACTTGTTGATTGCCCACATCGTAGGAGGATATTTCTTCTCTAAAGACCTGAAAAAGGAACTGGGTTAATAGTGGTATTAGTGACTGCGAAGCCCAAGAGAAACTGCTTAAGGCCAGTCACATGAGGAATTTCTATGGGAAGTTTTTGATGTGTCAGCTCCGTACTTTAACAGGCCTAAACCAGGACGAAAATCCATGGAGTAATTTGGAAAGTCACATTTTTGGGGTTTACCTTTTCTAATTCCTTCCTTTCTTTGTAGAAAAGCAGCATTGCTATCGATCCTTACTGACTGAGGGAAACACTTTACTGATCTTACTGTCGTGTACAATCAGAAGTACGACTTCGTCGTCGCTTTTAGTCTTACTGCTCAAAACAGACCTGCTTAGTATGGAAGGACTTGAAGGAACCAGTGTTCCAGTCAATATATTTCGATTGTGTCATCATAACAAGGAAGCCATACCACTACGTCAAGGTAGCAGCTACAGTTATAACATTAACTGAAAGCATTATGTTATACATAAAACACCATTTTTACGTATATTTTTCAATTTAAAAGTGAGAACTTCATTAACCATTTTTAGGATCTCTTGCAAATCTGTATGATAAGCAAGAGCTGAAATAATAATGGTAGCACCAATGACGATAGGAACAGAAGCCCAATTTGTGAGAACATGGAACCAAAAAATCGAAAGCATAAAATAACACTGGAATTCAAGTTGTACGCCATATGAAATTTGAATTGCAAAATAAGATCAAAGCATAGGATGAGTCAATCCGATGCATTAGAACAACTGTTCAGTTTTTTGCGAGAAATTCAAAAACTAAAATGACTTTTATTTTAAATAATGTATAACCAGTAGCTTAATTACTTTTGTGTAATGCTCAGAACATTTCAAATTACAATGAAAAGTAATTTTTCTTGTCAACAGAGTAAAAACAACAATAAGATGATGTTTTTGATTGAGATCATGAACCGATTTATGTTAGACCACCACAATTGAAAACCTGGAAGCACTGGACGGCCGTTCCGTCCTATTGTGGGACCCCTCAGAAGTGCGCATCCACGACCCCTCCCGAGGGACTCGAACCCAGGACCTTCGGTCCCGCGCGCGAACGCCTAACCAACTAGACCACTGAGCCGGCATCCAATAGTGACAGTTTCTAACATTAACTAACCCACGAAATTGCGCGACCAACTACCGTTGTACTGAGGTAGATACCTGTCTCTACCCGACAAGGATTAGCTCCACTGGTCACGGCTTCTCACTAGAACTCCGAGAATTCCCTTACGAAGCTAGTCACTAGTGAACACATGTTGATTACTAGTATAGTGGTTGTGGAGATTATTAAGTTTTCGATTGAGATCATGAACCGATTGATGTTAGATCACCACAATTGAAAACCTGGAAGCACTGGACGGCCGTTTTGTCCTATTGTGGGACTCCTCAGTGTGAATACATCTCAGTCCTACACGAAGTCGGTCGCAGCCAGGATAGCCTAATGGTAACGTCTCTAACTGTGAAGTTGGGAGACACGGAATGAAATCCGTCAGGGAGCACCAGTTCCGTCAAGATTACAGGTACACCTTGCTGACGAGTACCAATAGCACGAAACCCTGGTCCGGGATTTCCTGTTGACTGCCTCCAACCACCATCTTATCTCAACATAGTGCATACAATGTCGAGTCACTGAGACTGGTGGCCACATTGCAACTTGGTCGATAGCATTCGATCTACACTAAGAACGACCTGACATACATGACATTGATCAACACCCAGTGATCAATTGTGAAAAATAACAATTTAAACGCATCAAATATCCAATTCTTTCTGTATAAATTGCATGTAACATATAAATCAACTCTAGACCTAAACTCTAATCAGGAACAATATAAAGACTTCTGAAAAACTTTTTGTATCCTTACAAAGTTTCAAGACGATAAATGTTCTATAAATATATGAATAAATCTATAAGTTAATATATTTTTTTTGATTTACACACGGGGAAAACGCGTAAATCTTAATAGATTAATTATGTAAAATTTTAGAATATTGATGAAAAATGAGGAGAAAATTGTCACGGTTACTTCAAGAATAGTTAAAACTCGTCTTCCTACAGTATAACTCATACTAAAAAAGTATAAAAATGTTATTTATTGTAATATTGAAAAAAGTTTTAATAACTTACCTATTTAATGATGAATCGATCGAATTAGTCGATATAACACCGGTATTTTCAGAAGGTATGGAGATAGATTTTGATGACTAGAATGTGGATAAAATTAAGGGTGAAGAATTTATATAATTTAGAAAAGAACATGGACTTTTCATGGTGAAATGAAAAGAATAGTTTAAGGTTCATATTATTTACTAAAAATTTAGATAGATAATGGTCAATAGTGTTCAGTAGAGAATAATAGTAAGATAGATTTTCGAAGTTCTAGTCACAAACTAAGACAGATGAAGTCCAAATAAATCTATAATGGGACAGGAATCACTAGCAATACGAACTACGGAAACCTAAATCGATGATCCTAAAGTAAAATATTCATCCCGAGACTTCAAACTGCTTGATGCTCAAACCTATGTGACATTATGCATGTCCATTGACTACAGAGTCTAAAACTTAGACAAAGCCGCACTATCTAGTGCTCTTTTATTTTAAGATTTAACATCAATTGAAAACATTTTACGAAACACGAAGAAATAGTAGACTAGACACATCCTTGTTTTGATTAAAACAAGAATCTCTGTAAATCTTATGGGAAGTACATTTGTTGTGAAGAGAACAATGGAAAAAAGATGATATGATATGGAAGCTACTTTTTGGGATATTAGTTTACTTAGATTTTGCTATGTGATTATTAAAATTTGATAACTGTCTTATTACATTAATTATAAGCTTTTGTTAAATTTATGAACTACTGTCATATCTTCATCTATTCGATATTTACGGTAATTTGAACACTGGTTTTGTATTCTATTTTCGTAATCTAAGAGCCCTATTTTCAGACATTGTGTTTTGGTTAAATGATTTATATATTTGCTTGTGTACCCTTTGGAATCAGATACATTTTGGGAATCAAGGGTTTTCCACAGATCCCTTCTCTATTTTCTAGCTAACTAATCAGTGTCCGTGTAGTCGATTATTAGTCAGCGAATAGGATGGTTTTCTACCCTCAGGGTCAAGTAGTCAGACTAAGGTCATGACAACAATGAACATGCTATATTGTAAAATTAAAAAAAGCTAAACCGTCATGAATCAGAAGGACAATTTAAAACCTGATAATTAAATGTTCATCGGTTCCAGTTATCACAGTCATAACATCAGTCTATGAAATTACCGGAGATGGATTGAGAAAAACAAACAATAATAATGGTAGCTTATTAATCTTGAAATAAAAGAGACAAATTAATTACTTCCAAATGATGATCTTTTTTAAGCAAACCACATTCTTCTTCAGCAGCATCGATTAATTGTCGTCTAGCTTGTATACGACGTTGAATTTCAGCTAGCATAGAAGATTTTTGATCAATGGAATCTTTTCTTAATTGCTGTGTAGAATCTGTACGTTTTATTGGGTTGGTTTTGTCATTTTTCGGTTGAGTAATTGATGATAATGTCGGTGGCGCTGGAGGTGGTGGTGGTGGCGGGGATTTTGTAGTTGAAATTATCTGACACAAAGAGAAAAGTGTATTGAAATATGGCAATCCATAATAATTTGTATAAACTGTAATGGAAATCAACCAAAAAGTTGATATCGACTCATGAGACCATTGATTGAGCCATGTAGGGTAGATATAAACAATTAAAGTTGTGGTCAGCGAATAAAGATTTGAGGTGACGTGATTCGAAATTAACCACAATCGAGCAGATGGGTCGACTCTTTATATTACCCTAGACCTTAAGTCCCAGTACTTTTTCAGATATGGTTTCTAGTTCTGTATCTTTTGTAAATGTTTAATTTTCACATTATCATTGCTGCTAATTATTTTGACCGCTTTTAGTATTTATATTTTCAAATTCATCTCATCAAAATGATGTGGTATGAATATATGGGTTAACGTACAAAAGTGCCAGACTCTAAGTTGATTGCAAACTGCAATACATACATAAAGTGTGCGTCTACAAAAGTGAATTATGTTTTGTACAATTTAATGTATATCTTTACCCACTCCCTACTATCAGTGTAAATATATTTATCAATTAACTTTGGGTGACATTAAATCATAAAGACATTAAGATAATACGAGTTCTGCTTTAAACTTACAAAACAGATTTCAGTCACAGAAAAAATCTAATTAGTCACTATTTAATAGTTGAATTCATGAGGCGATTGAAGTTAGACCATTATGGAAAACCTGAAAGCACTGGACGGCCCTCCCGTCCTAGTATGGGACTCCTCAACAGGCGCATTCACGATCCTTTTTGTGGGATTCGAAACCAGGACTTATCAGTCTCGCGCGCGAACGCTTAACCTCTAGACCAATGAGCCGGCATCTAGCGGTGTTAATGTCTAACTTCAACTAATCCACAAAACTGAGCGACACATCCACCATTGTCTTCAGTGAGTTACTATCTTACAACAGACCTAGTTGAACTTCATTGGTCACTGCTTCTCACTAGAACTCCAATGTAGCTTTAATTAACTCATGATCTCAACCATTGAAATTGCTATAATATTCACAAAAACCCTTCTGATAATGTTTTTTTCCCAAATAACTATGAAATATTTCATAGACAAAATACATAGAATTTTCATTCAGATTAAATAATAATCTACTTTGTAATTGTGGATTTCATATACACATATTCTAAGTATGTATTTTATGTTTGATGTAGATGAACGGAATAACTACAAATTTAAACTATGTACTTGTTAGATCCTACATATATTATAAACTATAAAAGAGTAGGCTTAATTCCATAGTTCACAAATATTGTGGCAATCATGAATTGTGATATGTACAAAATCTAGAATGGATAAGTTTCTTTCGTAAAAATTTAATCCATTTAAGTATACAGAATCTGCAGTAATAGTATACTATTTAGGATAAGGTTTCTTTATACTATTTAATCAGGAGATTACAATTAAAATCTGACTAGTCAGTCAGTTAGCTATCAGCGAAATAGAACCTAGGATATATGTGTATTGGTTCAAACTATCACATCATATCGGCACGGAATGAGATCACTAAGATAAACGCGCAGATGACCTTGGTCATGAAGTGATATCACCTGAAGAACTATTGAAAACAGTAGGTGTACCATATAGATGTTTCACTCCAATTCGAAACTTTTCGGGAATTAAAAACCCATGACCTCTCTGGCAACCTAACACTGAATTCTAGGGTCTTGCAGCAAGCATATCACTCTTGATAGCTGTTACAGTGTGAAAATACAACTTTCGGAATTATTTTATCAAGGATTAATGTCTGTGCTTTTATTGTGTAATTATAAGACACTTGGATTACTGTACATTAATGTCATCTTAGTTGAAAGCTTTCGTTTGGCGCATAAACTATTGATCTGTGTCTTACTTTCCATAAGTTAATGTAAATTGATTATGGGCTTATTACTTAGTTTTATTTCACATACGGTGTAGTCATCTCCATGTATAGTAATTTCTCATTTATGTTGTTGTGAAGTCAGAAAACTAAACTGTATTACCACACTAGTTTGAGTTATGAATTTTACCATACAACAGAAGTTATCTGTCTGCTGTGTTATTGTTCTATTGTGATAATTGGGCAACAGAATGTGGAAAAATAAATCTTGAGAAGAAATAGATGTCACAATTTATTTTGACCTTAACTCATAAATGAACTTCCCAATAGAAGCGTATCACTGGTTAAGTCTGAGATGCTAGGGTATAACCAAAATAGTGCACACGTAGTAGAGAAATATTATAAGATCTTAATTGGTGAAACTTATCAAACGATATCAATGAATATGATTTACAGTCATTACAACATTGATATTGACAGGCATCGAAATTCTTGTAATAGATTGAGATAATTCTAACACTATAAAATAAACGACAATAATCATTCTCTAAATAGGAATTAAGTGTATACAGAAGATAACACGACGTTACGAAAGTTTTGAGCACACATATGTAAGTTGACTTAGTGTATTACTTAAAGTATAATATGAGGATGAATTAATTAGAATCGAGAAAGCGACTTTCCAGATTTTGAATAAAATTCAAATAATACCCATAACAATAAGCAACAATATCTCTGTATACTACTCAAAATGTTCAAAATCATAATGGAAAATTACCGAAAACCACCATAAAGTAAAATCCTTGTGTTAAACGTATCAAGTGTTTTGTTCTATTTCTGTACATTTTATATAACATCTTATCCCTAAATGCTTAATCCTGATTCATAATAATAAGCTAGTGGCAATATAACTTACAAACAAGAAAGTTAGATAAGACCTCTTGGATATTTGAAGTAAATACATATTCATCCATTTGAATATAGAGAATTTTTGTATTTCAACTGATGTCAATTTGTGATAAAAGCCCTACTACTAGGGTCTTTTTTAGGGGTTAGGTAAAACATATAATCAATATCCATAAGGAAATTTTTTCTATAATTGCTTCTCAATATATAGCCAGATCAAACTGTAGAAGACTTATATAAATGTTTGAATACGTAAAATCTGTCTACACGATGTGATATTACTGTTTGCCTTTTCACTAACTATCCATTTATAAAAGATGATTTCTGATGGGTTGAGAACTGACCAAAAGTTCGTCGCAGTTGATTTAATCTCGTTCCTATACCATACTACTATCCGATAGGAATATGAATTGTTTATCAGCTTCTGTGGTTTCCGTAGCAAAAGTATACACCTATAAAAAATTATGATTGAATACATCAAATTAATCAATTTGATCATATATTTTAATTGATAATAGTTACCGAATTATTGCAAGAAGTTGAATTAATACTTGGTCTTATTGAATCATTACATCGATTTTCTTTATTACGTTTACGTGCAGCAATAGCTTCTTGTAGCATAGCAGCTAATCCAGATGATTCTGACTGTTTAGCTAACTCTTCGTCATTATTCTGATCATTATTATTATTACTACCCGGTACTGATGTTGTTAACACTGACGATGAATTTGAACTGTTTGTGTTAACAGCAACAGTTGAATGATTAACAATTTCACGAGAAACTGTCAAGAATAGAAAAAATTACGATAAATGTGTTGAATTTATAGAAAGAAAATGACAATGTTAAGTAATAAGTACCATTTACATGTAGATTCTACATAGTGTTATACTGTTAAGTTAGTATTTTAAATGTTTTGGAAATTTTTATTACAATTATTGAGAAATATAATGAATGAATAATTAGTGTGAAACATAAACTTTCAGATGTTTTTAATGACTAACACTTGATTGACAATGTTCCATAAGTTTGTGGAAGTTTTAATTCATTTTTGTATGTTATTTGAATCTTCCCATTGATCAGTCTCTTATTGGTAAATGTCTATCCTGTGAGAATTACTTCGATATTCCACTGTTAGCCACCAACACCATCTCTGCTTATAATGTTTATGACTAAAGGCGATATTAAGGCAATCTGTACAGAATGTACGTATGACAGTAAGAGATTGACTGATTGAAGTCCTAAACATCAAATGGAAGATTCAAACAACCAATACAAAAATCAATATGATAAGTGTTCAAATGTGAAATTCTTCATTTCTTCTTGTTATTTGCTGTTACATTCAGTCAGTAAGTCAACTACAACGTAGGACCAGGCACAAATATGCGTCAGTCCAAGTTGCCACACATCATTAGCACAACAAGATGAACACCAAATCCATAGAAGTAGTTAATTCTATGGTGGCAATACATAAAAAAAGAGTGTATATAAGGATATAGTACAGGAAAAAAAGAATTAGTTGATAGAAAGATATAAAATAATTTCAACCGCATAGTTTAAGGGAAGACAGGAAGTGTACACAGCTACGCCATTGTCATCGATCCTGAGCCATGTCGCCCAGAGCCTCCAACTGCGGTGTGGGTTACTTATATCCACATAAGTAGTATATAACAGTGACCAAGCATATATTGCATTTCAGTAGAAGATCGATAAGAAAAGAACGGCAACGGAACGCAATTGGTAGGAAAATGCATGAACAATGAAATCTAAGACAATGGACTGATATTTGCAAAAGGAACAGTGAAGTTTGAGATGATGGATTGATATTTTGCAAATTAACTATTTACTATATGGTTCTCAGATTTTAATGAGATGCTCTGTAGTTTCGTGTCAAATACATTCGATAGTCCCCCACTCGTGTTCTTGTTCACTGCACAACCATTAGTTGCGATAATCGTTGTTGCATTATTACTCAGTTACAACAAATTCATATGAAGTAGAACTATATAGAAAACCAAATAAGTTACTCAATGGTCGTCTATGTACAGGATGTTTACTTACTAGATTAGTGGCAACATGGAAATCTAAACAAATTGTGAACATCTGGTATCGGTTGTGTACAGTAAAACTGTCTATTCAGTTTAGATTTCTTTAATTTCGATAGTAGTATACGAAATGAATGCTCATGCATTAATAATTTTATAATTTGTTCCATTTATTAGCTTTCTACCGACTGGATTATGAAGACGTCAACATCTGAAGGGAAGCACGGGATACAATGGACAGATAGGATGCAGCTGGGCGATCTAGACTTCGCAGATGATCTGGTTTTTCTATCGCACACGCAACAACAAATGCAGGAGAAAACGAATAGTTTGGCAGCAGTAGGTCTCAATATACACAAAGAGAAAAGCAAGATTCTCAGATACAACACAGCATGCATCAATCCAGTCACAACTGACGGAGAAGATTTGGAAGATGTAAAAACCTTTACATATTTGGGCAGCATCATTGATGAACATGATGTGTCTGATGCAGATGTGAAGGCGCGGATCGGCAAGGCAAGAGCAGCATATTTACAACTGAGGAACATCTGGAACTCAAAGCAACTGTCAACCAACACTAAGGTCAGGATTTTTAACACAAACGTCAAGACAGTTCTACTGTATGGGGCAGAAACCTGGACAATTATGAGAGCCATAATCCAGAAAAAACAGGTGCTTATTAACAGTTGTCTACATAAAATACTTCGGATCCATTGGCCAGACACTATCAGCAACAACCTACTGTGGGAAAGAACAAACCAGATCCCAGTGAAGGAAGAAGTCAGGAAGGAGCGCTGGAAATGGATAGGACACACATTGAGGAAAGCACCCAACTGCGTCACAAGACAAGCCCTCACATGGAATCCTTAAGGCCAAAGGGAAAGAGGAAGACCAAAGAACATATTACGCCGGGAAATGGGATAGACATGAGAAAAATGAACAAGAATTGGATGGAACTAGAAAAGAAGGCCCAGGACAGAGTGGATTGGAGAATGCTGGTCGGCGGCCTACGCTCCATTGGGAGTAACAGGCGTAAGTAAGTATTAACTTTCTAATAATGACTCTGTTTTTAAAGCACTGTTTATATGCTTTAGCCTATTACATCATTTTATTTCTACATTGATTACAAGAGTCTATTATGCACAGAGTATTTATGAAACATAAATACTGAATAATAATAAGCAAGTTTCTTCACTTGATTATTTACTGAACTAACACTGAAACGAAATAAACGATTTCCAAGTTAATATTTTTACCAATGGTAGTAAATATTTATATAGTAATGAAAATCGACTCATTTTAAATGATATTTTCATTAATTTACATAGATTAAAACTTAATACATTAGATATTCAAATCATTAATCAAAGATTTTAGTAGTTTTATTATTTAACCCTGACCTTGAGAACTCAAGCCTGACCAGTTACTACTGATAGACTCTCCAGTTAGAGATGGATTCCTTAAATTTTGATTACTAAGACGATGCATTGTGCTCAAATAATTACCATTAATTGGACCATTACCAACACTGCTTCCACTGCTACTAGTACTTGCATAACTAGCTAAACTTCCTGAACCTGCATATCCATAACCATAACCGTAGCCAGTAGATGATGAAGAGGCAGATGAAGGAGTTGCAATTGTCCCAGGACCTGTAGCATAACCTAAACTAATTGATGATGTAGAAGACAGTTGACGACGATGTGTTTCAAATGCACCAGAATCTTTACTACCACTACTAATATTATTATTATTAGTCAGAGTAGTAGCAGTTATCAATTTATTTATTTGATTAGATTGATTAACATTATCTTGATATTCATAATTTGCCAATTCATTAGGTTCCGGTTGTTTTCTGAAATAAATCAGAAAAAAACTGTTTTAGTATATTCAAGGCTGCAAGGTAAAGAATTAAAAGTCAATACAGTAGAGAGAATAAAACTACCTGTGGATTGTTTTAACCAGAAGTGGATGGTGGCTAGCAATAGAATTCAAGACGTGAGTTTCGTTTTATTTGGGACTCGTCAGCTGGATATACCTGCAGTCCAGAGTTGATCTTCATTCTTTGACTATAGGTAAAATAAGGAAGCGTTTTTCCAAAATAGAAGCGTCTCATACTAAGGTGAAATAGCTATTTACTGTTCACTAGTTCATCATAGTACCATGAACGATATCAATCCATGGTGGTGGAGAGAAAATCATTTACAAATAAAACTAGTAGTTGAAACTAAGAAAATCCTACTATGTACACGATATCGCGATAAAAAACAACTGGACTAAAACGAACATATACAAACACTATGCATAAAGGGTTATAAAAAAGCCATCAGATTAAAGTCTGAAAAACATGGAATCAGTTATAATAAACCTAGATCCTAAAGTGAACATTTCCTAGCTGAAGTTTTCACATCACATCAATACGAGATGAAATCAATAACATGTATCGTAAAGAAGTCTAAATAATAGTATGGTGAGAAAGATTAAACATTGAAGAATATAATTTGAAGTTACAGATAACAGAATTTGAAGACATAGGGGAGAGATAGGGTGAATGCAAATGATTCTAAGCCGTGTCCTTAGGGACTTCCGCCCACAAATCATACAAAACCAAACCACGTCCTCTGCAATTATCAATATAGCTCAGTCCAGTATTTAATGCTTTCATAAACTTATGCAGTGTTTTGTTTTAACCTCATTGGATTTTCATCTAACCTGCTTCTACTAGTTTCTTATGAATTTAAGTGATACGATTACCTTGAGGACCAGACCAGAACTGAAGTGGCAAAAAAAGGTAATAACAACCCGATTAGGAAAGGATTTTTATCGAATATTAAGATAAGAATAAGCTGATAATGCCTGCGATTATATGATAACAGTCTATGGAGCAATAATCAAATGAAGTTCGAAACTGTGATTATAACTTGACAATGTTAAACCATCTTTAAATGAACAAATTTTCACAAACTACAAGCCATTCATTATTAATGACCAACTTTGAGATGGATCTTCTGATAATTCATGAACTATGAAACTAACCAGGTTGACCGTGAGATACTTATCTAGACGATGAAATCAGATGACGATCACTTTACAGTACGAACTGAATAAAACTTATGGATGAAATCTTATTGGATTCCAGTTGTCTAAATATGTATTTTTCATCACAGGACCTGATGGTGGAACTTTGATCTCGTATATATATAGGGCGAGACTAAAAGTTATGGACGAACCAATCAGATTTAGGATAGTAGGTCTTGGATTTTGACACGAAATTCATTAACCCATTTGGCCAAACAAAGTCTTGAAATTTTAGCTGTTGGTTCGTGATGAAAAACCGTAAATCTAATTCCTAACCTTAACCATCAACAGTGAATCATAATCCTTATTCTTCAAACTGCTTTATGACCCTCGTTTAGCTCCAATAAGTAGGTAGACACTCTCAAGGTCACTTTGGTGTCTCTTGAAGGTCGTCCATAAATTATAGTCTCACCATATATAGTCTTAAACTGATGCAAATTATTACCCAGTGCTCCTTAATTGATAATCTAACCTTCCAGCTAATTCCAATTCGAGAAAAAAAAGACATATATGCAATAGATCTGTTTGCTATGTTTGTTGACTTTGCCATTTAGAAAGAAGCATATACATAAAACAGATAGAATATAAATGTATATTTTCTTTCAATCGAGTATGAACATGTATTATATTCAGTGAAGAAAAAAAATTAGTGCACAGTTTTAATAGACAATTCGTTAGTAATCAATATAGAATTGTTTACTCTTAATAATGTAATTAAGCTAGTATGTATAATATAACTCATACTAAATGAATTAAGTAAGTGGAAGGACAGTGTAAACAGTGAACATATTAACAACATAAATTTCAATATATTAAACAAACCAATTCAGTAATCTATGTACAGGTTAATAAACTATGAACATTCAACTGAGAGTTGCTACTGTACCAATCTAATTGTTCCTAATAACATACAGTATGAATATGTAAGTCGAATGGAATAAAATTCTAAATGTTACAACTACTAGGCTATCGCTTTATATAAAATAAATAAGTTATGTGTTCAATAAATATGGAAAGGATTATCTTACAAAGTTTATGGTAAGAGGATTTTTTATCTTTTTCATCTACAAAAAGCTCTTAGCTTATAACATTATACTTACCATGTTTCAATTTACATTATAAAAAAAAGAAACCTCCTACAAGTCAACGGAAGTTAGACTTCACCTAACAATACTTAATATTTCTCTAGAATTGTAAGTATAGACGATTTTCTAGAATTTTTGTCATTACTAATCATTTCGATAGTGAATCCATGATCGGAAAATATATCGAACAGCACACATCCGATGTTTTTTATCAATATAGGATATCATGCATTTTCCTAATCATAAACTATGCAGTCTTAACCGCTCATACTGAAAATACTCGGTACAATTTCTTGTATTCAGTTAGCTGCATAAACAGCCATTAACATTTCATGAATTTTCAGTCAATTTTTAACAACAACTAATAAATTAGTTCATGTAATTATTAAACTACTTTTTACTTTACTTATTTACGCCTGTTACTCTTAATGGAGCATAGGCCGATGACTAGCATTCTCCAACCCACTCTGTCCTGGGAATTATTAAACTAACGATCTAAGATCTCATATAAATTGTTTTTTTACTTTAAACAAACATAAAAAGTATAGAAGTTGAAGAAGCTGAGAACTGCGAAGAAACGAATACACTTACACTGCTGCAAACGATTACGCAACTTAAAGTATGTAACTATATGTTATAAATTTATACACTAACTACAAGACTTACAGTTTATCTTGTAATTAACGCTAATAGTCAGGAATCTTATTATTAAATGCTGTGTAAATATTTTATACGTATTAGATCTAAATTTCGTGTAATTTCGAAACTTACAAATAAAAAAAAACTACCTATTATCATGACAGAACTAACGTTATCCAAGGTATCCAGACTTATATCACCTGTAATACAGTCAAAGATGTTAAAAATCAGTTTATCCAGATGCGACTAACCTCCAATAAAGATTGAGATATTTACATCAAGGATTAAAAACTGGTTATCATTAAGTTTATGCCACGACAAATGTGGACGGATGAAGAAAATTAAATCGTTGGTCAATTTTTACCTGTTCCAGTGTTTGTTTTTTTTTCTTTTTAGAATAGTAAAATTATGCATAATTTATATTTTTTTTATTAGGAGAAGACTTATAAGAAGTTACCAGTTGATCTTATTTTCATTACAAACAATATATTAACTAGTTGGCTAAACAGTAGTCGATATTAGGCTACGATCGAAATCTGTTAATTATTTTCGCAATGTTAAGCTAAGTGTAATAACGTCTGTTTTGACATCGATTAAGTAAATAGAATAAATATGTACAAATACAATAGTAATAATCACGGATTAAAAAACGAACACGACTAAGTGACCAAGGAGATAGTCATTTACTACGACGGTATACAATGTTCGTATATAAGAGTATATAAATTGGGGGAGGGTTTCTAACATACTACAACAATAGGTTGTTTTCTGATGTGTGTGTGTGTGTGGAGGGGTTCTACTGAAACATTAATTGGATTATTAATCTTACACATTGGTGACAAACAAACTAATTAGGATTATAATTAATAAATTGTGTCAGTGATGAAATGTGACTCACTAAATCTAAACTTAAGAGGTGAACACAATCCTTAACATAAACAAATCTTTATAGAACAACTATGATAATAGTAATAAGAATAATCCACAAACCATAGTTGGCCAGCATCTAGATGAACTTCCTGAAGTTCTGAGAACAATTTACAGATAATCAAAAGTCAACTACATTGAAAAAAGTAACCTGACTCTTAAATCACTCATCCAAAGGTTATGCATTATCTCTATGAGAACTGAAAGCTATCAGATTGGTAATAAACTGAAAATGAAGAAACAATGTGAAATTTCAATATGGTTCCTTACATAAAAGAATTAATAAGTATTGAATTTTCTCTCATCTGTCCGATTAGCAGTTATCTTCGTTGCTAAGATAACTAAATGTTACTAAGGAGTTATATTTTATCTTGTAGAGTTTACAAGTTAATTAATCAAAATTCATTCAACTGTCTAGTTCTCAAAAACGTCATAAAAAACCGATGATTTAATTGGTTGAAATCCATTTACTTAGTACCATACAGTTATCAATCTTGTGTTTATATATCCAACATCCAAACATTTCGTAAATTATGTAGGCTACAACATTGACTACCAAGAATCAAGAAAGTTGAGAGTGTTTGTGTGTGCAGTACTTTGAGATTTACATGTACTGTGTGTAACTAAATACGACAATGTAAGGTTCTATACAAAAGATATGACCTACACCTTGATAATAGTTTATAATCATTATGCGGTAAAGGAAAATTTGATAATTATTAGCTGTTACTTTTAAAATAACACCTTAGCAAAATACGCGTTTATGCACTTGAATTTTGCTAGGTTTGAAGCTATCACGAGTTCACTTATTCGGCGAACGAGAAAAAGACTCGGTGACCAAAGACCAGTAAGCTAGCTATTGATGCGTCCCAGCCCCGCTAACTAGAGGGAGAAGTCCAAGCTTGGAATGGGAAGTATATTCTGCGAAACAGCCAGAAATGAGCGATAACAACAAACATAATTCAAAACGCATATATGCAGTGCAAAACCGTCCTTGGGGAGAATTACCAAATAGCATACTAAAAGACGCAACGGACCAATAGCATTTAGGATATTTCCCAGTGGGAAATATGACATGAAGGTGACAAGCGCGCCTTTGGCGCGAAAACAAAGAAATTCGAATTTT